GTTTTATATGTAGTCAATTTTTGTATTCATTATTTAAATACTGCTAAATGTTATTTTATTTATTTTTGATGTTCTTAGTTTGAAGTTTAGCTGCTAAAGATGCTACATACACAGTGCCCGAGAAGTCAGGCACTGCTTTAAGAGGGGATAGTTTTTTAATTCTGGATAAAGGGCATAAAAATAGAAGTTTTACACTAGTGAATTTTTTAGTGGACTTCAAATTAGCGGATCATAATCAGTCCACTAATGGTTTCCAAAGTTAGAAACAAAGCTAATCCACTAAATGAGAAGCTAGCTCTGCTGTTAGCAGAACTGTGGCCACCACTGCTTGGAACTAAAAGAAAGTCTTTTAAAAGCAAACATTATCTCTTTATGATAATTAATTTAGTGTCTTAAAAAAATGTCACTTGTCTCTTTAATCTATAATAACGTGCCGTGTTGACAATATTTTCAGACTTTGTGCCCTTTATTGTTTACACATGTGGTTCAGAGTCAGAGCTGCTGTTTTAAAGCATAAAATTAAGTTACATTTCTGACAAAAGTTCAGCTCCGATGTTCCTGCAACATTTCAAACTGTGAGCACTGATCATAGTTTGGATGTGACTACATTCAGTGGTTGGGTCAAACCTACCCGCTCTAGGTCCTGTCTCAGGTGCATGAACATCCTCATGCGTGTGTGAACGCTGTCCTCCTGAGGCTGCAGCACCAGGTTCTCCTCCTCCTCTTTAGGGGGCAGCAGAGCTTTGTTAAAGCTGGACTTCCTCTTCAGCTTCCAGTACTGATACATGAAGTCCACCAGGTGCTCCGAGAGCCCCAGGTCCCTCGCCAGCTGCCCCAGGTGGATCAGAGTGTAGAACTCCTCCTCCAGCTCCTGGAGTCTCTGCGCCCTCWGGCCCACCTTCCCCGCCTCTCCGGTGGGTTTGGAGCGAGCCGGGCTCAGGCCCGCCTCCCCTGATTTGGGCTTGCTGTGCTTGAGGCAGTAAGACTTGAACTTGACTTCGTCACCCTCGTCCAGGATGGTCTTCATCTCCAGGCTGTGCTCAAAGGCACAGGTCACATGGAAAGGAATGGTGCAGTTCTTCACTGAACACTGTGGGCAGAGAGGACACACTACAATTACACACACTGACACACACACTATAATCACACACCCTGCAGTTACATACAGTGCAGTTACACTCACACTGCAGTCACACACGCACACACACACACGCACACACACACACACACACTGCAGTCACACACTGTAGTCTCACACACACACTGTAGTCTCACACACACACACACACACACACACACACA